GGGGGGGGGGCTCAGGTACCAACTCCTAGAACCTCCCGCTGCCTAAAGGCTCGCTGAGCATCAGGAGAAACAGTGAGCACGAAGCTGCAGGACCCACATTTCCATCCAGCGGCTCACAGACACTCCAAACTGGTGGGCCACTGCTGGATGCTGAGGACCAAGCTGGCACCGAGGACACCCAGCCCAGAAGCCAGACGATCAGCTATCCTGCCACTCCTGCCTCGGCTGTGCCTCGGGGGAAGCAAGCTCACTAGGACGTCTCTCCCGAAAAGGATCCGACCAGCACCGCCTAAGACACCCCCGAGCAGTGAGTCATTCTACGAGGACATCGGTGACAGGCAAGCGGTCCCCGAGTGCTTCCTGGTGAGACAGCTCGCTCAGCAGGTGCCACGGGGACAAACCGGCCCTGACCAGGCCCTGGCCTGGCCCCCGGACAGCTCAGACCCCGGGGAGCGCAGGGCAGAGAGGCATGTCCGGCCCCGCGGCCATGGGAGGCTCCAAGGCAGCCAACATGGTTTTTTCGGCAAATCAATTACCAGAGGAAAAAAAGGCACCACAAGAAACAGGTCAGAGCAGGCCAAAAGGCTGGGGGGTGCCACCTGTGGGTCCTGGCCTGGGGGGATGCCTGTGGGTCCTGGCCGGCGGTGAGTGGGGGGGGCGGCCTGGGGTTCTGGCCTGGGGGACTGCCCTGTGGGTCCTGGCCTGGGGGGACGCGTGTGGGTCCTGGATCCACAAGGGGTAAGCACGTATCTCTATGCTGTGGAGTCCTCATCCCTGGCGGGACCTCCAGAACCATTTCCACACAAACCCGTCTGACTGCTGGGCTCGGACTGGGAACAACCTGGGGGAGGCAGGGACAGAGGACAGCGTGTGTGGCTGGCTGCCCTGCCCCTGTCCGGCTTGGAAATCCCCTCACCTTACTCCTGTGGCCACTGATGAGGCGGGTGCTGGTGCCCTTGGCCCAGCTGACATACCAAAGGGTCCCTGCCGTGGTGCCCACCACGCCCATGTCCATGCTGTCGTGGAAGACGGCACTCACGATGGCACCATCCAAGGTCAGTTCGTGCTCCATGAACACAGAGCTAGACCTAAGGTGTGGCGGGGGAGTGGCTTCAAAAGGTGGCAGCTGGGGCCCAGGGCTCTGGGGACACGTCCCCAGCCTGGGGCTATGACCCCCAGGGCCCCACTCAAGGGGTCAAGGACACTGGCTCCCAGACACACCCACACACGTCCCACCTGGCACGGACACCTTTGCGCCTCAGCTCCGGCACGGCCCCCACCGCCCACAGGCGTAGGCGCCTGGTGTTGCTTCCACTGACCAGCCGCGCTCCCGAGCACAGCAACACTCCTGGGGGGTAGGAGGTTGCATGAGCCGCTTCCCCAGACGCCCAGACCTCGAGACGAAGGCTCCCAGGGAGAGGCCCAGCCCCGAGCTGTCAGGGGGCGCGGGGGCTCCATCAGGCACCCACCGATCTCGCCGTCATCTGCTTCCCAGGCCAGGAAGCAGCGGCCGGCACATGTGTCCCAGACACACACCCGGCCAGCGTTGGAGCCGCAGTAGAGCAGAGGCGTGGCCCCGTAGCAGAGCGAGGTCAGCTCGCCCGCCTCCACCTCCTCAGGGATGGGCTCCCGGTGCACCTGGAGGGACACAAGGGCAGCAGGGGTCGGCAACGTCCCGGGGCTGAGCCAGACCCCACCCTCCACCACAACCTCTGAACCCTGGCACCTGGAGGGTGACGTCAGCCCCGCGTTGCTGCAGGAGCCACGAGATGATGGCACCTTGGCCCACGCAGGTGAGCTCTCTGGCATCCCTGGGGTTGAAGGCCACGCCGTGCGCTGGCTCCGGCAGGCGGACGGAGGACAGGAGCTCGCAGGTGGCCACGCTCCACAGGGCCAGGGTGCGGTCACCGTAGTCCCCTGGGGAAGACACACAGTGGATACATCAGCTTCCCGGGAGTCTCAGGACAGGCAGGCGAGCCCAGAGACGACGGTCTCCCCGCAACCCAACTCACCCAGTGTGACGAGCAGCGTGTCGTCTGGTGAAAAAGCCAGGGCCTGCACGGCGGTGTCGTGGTAAGAGAGAAGGTGCCGGCAGGAGCCCCCAGGCACATCCCAGATGCGGATCTGGCAGCGGGAGGCTGTGCTGCTGCAGCCCGAGGCAGAGGCCAGGATCTGCCAGGCCGGAAGGCGGGCGGTCAACCAGGAGGGCACAGCCCACCGGCCCACCCTGGGCCCCGTCCTGCTCTGGGGAGGAGAGCCAGGGTGGCTCTCAAGAATCCAGGCTCCCAAGTGCACTCCGGCCCCAGGCGCACAGGGTAGGGCGTGCGGCCAGTACCTGAGCATTGTGGCTGAGGGCCAGCGTGGAGATCTCCTCGGGGTGGCCGAGCCAGTGCCGCTGGGCGCCAGAATGCAGGTCCTCCACCACTACCAGGCAGCCACACGTGTAGGCGAAGAAGCCTGGGGGCAGGGAGGGCACCCCTGAGCCAGTCGGCCGGGCCCAGGGTGCATCCTCCCTGTTTGCTTCCACAGCCGTGGGCGCTCGCGCCTGGGAAGCCCAGCTCAGAGGCGACACGGTCCGTGCGGGATGGAACACAGGACAGGTTACCGGGAGAACACGCCTCAGCTCGGGGATCCCTCCTGGGCCCGCCACCCAAGCCCCCCGCGGTGGCAAGGGCTCGCGTGCTCTCAGGCTGGGTAGAGCCTCAGAGCCACCTAAGGGTGGGTAGAGCTGGGCCCCTCCCCGCGGCTTCTGGGCTGGGAGCCAGGGTGCACTGTGGCCCCACCTGTATCTGGCTTCCAGACCACATTGGCCCGCCCGTTCCCGTTGTAGCCCACGACGGCCTTCAGGAGCAGACGCTCGACTCGGGCACTGGGGACAGAGGCACTCTGCGAGGACACGGAAAGGACGATGGTGCGCCGGCACAGCACCCGGCCCCCCCAATGTCTCAAGCTCTTCCCCCCTCAGGCCGGGGCCGGGGATGAAGCCTTAGGTCATGCGGGATCCCAGGAGACAAATGACAGGAGCCTGGGCCCCAAAGCCTGTGTAAGAGGCCAGGGAAGCCGAGAGGTGTGAACGCTGGGGGCAGGCGGTGCGGGAGGCACCTGGGTCGGGAGGGCGCAGGTGAGGCAGGGGCGGTGGGGGCGGGGGGAAGGGAAGGCTCCACAGGACACCACCTGGGGCCACTGTGGGTGTCAGCAGGGCAGTAAGAGCCTTGACCAGCCAAGCCAGAGTGCAGACACAAGGTGCACGGGAGAGCTGCAGGGGGACTGGCCCCAAGGGCTATGGCAGCCAACCCAGGGAGACCCCAGGAAACTGAGCTTCCCAGGGAGAAAGAAGGCTCCCAGAAAATGCAGGGCCATGCCCCCTCCACCCCAGGACCCGCAGCGTCTCCTTGTGAAAGGTGCCGTGAGGATGCCCCCAACTGACCTTGACCAGCGAGGAGGCCTTGTAGCGAGCGGTGAAGTGCCTGTAGCAGTCTGGGCGAGCAGAGGGATGGGCCTGGGCTTTTGTGGTGCTCCGAGCAGCTGGCAGGGAGAAGGAAGAGGCCTCGGAATGTCAGAGCACCCGTGACCGTGACCGTTCAGAGACCCCTCCTCGCACACGGTCGGCTGGCCCTGCCGGATGGGACAAGTGCCTGACCCGCTCCGGATACCTGAGGTCGAGGGCGCACTCAGGCTGCATCCCACTGCTAGCCTGGCCCGGCGGGGGCCCCAGGCCAGCCTACCTGCCCTGCAGGGAACACCTCACAGGGTAAACCTCAGCCTGTCAGCAGCTGGGCCTCCCTTAGGCCACCTGGCACCCACAAGACACCTTGGCCGGCCGGTCATGAGTGTCCCTGCCCCACCCTGTAGCCCCTCCTCTGCTTACTGGCCCAGCCACAGGGGTGGGGACGCATGCTGAAGCCCCAGGGGCCCCCGGCAGCCCCCTGGGCCCCATCTCCAGCCCCGCTGGCCTCTTTCACCAGCATGGGCAGGCTTGAGGCCTGATGGAGCCCCTCGGGGTTGTGGCTCTCCTGGGATGGTCCTTCTTCATCTGCTGTGGAGAAAGCACCTGGGGAGGGGCGGGGAAGGTGAGAGGAAGGAACAGAGCTCCCTAGCCCCTGCCCCTCCCCAGAGGCCTGGAGGGAAGCATGCTGGCTCCACCCAACAGTCCCTCCCAGGACCCCCACCCTTACCGTCAGCACCCTTGAGGGGCCCAGCACGGGCGCCCAGCTGGAGTGGGGAAGCCTGGGATGGCACAGGCACCTGCTGCCGGGGGAGCCCACCGGTGCCTGCCTCGGTGTCCTCCAGCTGCCTCGCACCTGGGCCTGGAGACACAAGAGGTCAGCCTGGGCTCAGGGCCCGGGGCGTGCACGGCACATACAGACAGGTGTCCACACACCCCAGTTCTGCACTGGGGACCCCAGGAAAGGCAGGGGC